TCATGTAAAAGATGCTTTTTAAAATTCATGACACTGCTCAGGTAATTAATAAAAGCCAAGCTTTCATTGAAGAAGTACGCGTCACCTTTTATGCTTAAGTTTGAAACTGCGAACATCTTATGCAGAGACGAGACGGATTTATAACTCTTTGGGTCAAAATTTAAAATAACGTTATGCATGTTGTAACGCAGTACTTCAAGATACGCAAGATCTTCGTGCTCAGAGTACGTGAACGACTCTCAGCTGCCAGCACACCAAATTTTAGATCAGTAATTGTAAGATTGGCTACAACAAAGTCACTTACATTTTTTAAGATCAGTTGGCTGCGGCAGCCATCTTGAATCAAGCTGACACCATAAGTTATGCATTTGCAGATTTACAACAAATGTTTAATGCAATATTGAATGAAATCATGCACGATAACCTGTCACGATAACACATTTTGCTGGGCGATTAATTGTCTCAGAAGTTATTGTGATAAATGATAATGTTTGAAATTTGACAATAATTAGTAATTATTGGCAAATTTAAGACGAAATGTTGGTTAATTTTTGTGTGAAGCACCTTTTTTTACCACTGGGTGGCAGTATAAGGCTGTTTGAACTGAAAGATGGATAGTGAGGGAGCGAGCAGTGTGTCTCTTTAAGAAAAATGGGAGGGAGGCCCTTGGCTGTCTCTCTTTTCTTTTTTCTGTTTTCAAAATAGCGGACGCTCAGTGTTATTTGAGCTCTTTAGCATAACGTTTGTCACATAAAGCTTTTAATAAATATCAGTAAACAAATCCTCAGCTTCTCTTTGCAGAGAAAAACGTTTTAGACAAAGGCACGGGTTTCAACCGTGAATTTTGGAGCTTTTGACAAGACAGAGGTTTATTCCCCGAGGTCGGACCGTTAGCTTAGCTCATAGCTTAGCTTCTTTTAACGATCCAAAAATGCGATTTTGGATCGTTAAAACAGATTTTACAGAGAACAAAGAAAGGGAGGAGCATCAGAGTTGAGCCTTTTGTCATCCAGTGTCTTCAGTAGAAAGAGAGACACGAAGAAACGATAAAGCTGATAAATGAAAACGAGGTTGATAACTTACATTTATCATGCGATTAATTGTTTTATTGTTTATCGCGACAGGCCTAATCATGCATACCATTCAGCCTTCTCAATAACTTTTATTTTAATTTCTCAACATAAATATTTCACATTGATGTTCCGTGTGGTGAAAACGTTGGTGAGCGCAGACTGTTTAAACACTGATTGATGAAAATGTCTTACCTCATCACAGGCATGAAAAGAGTTATGAAGTGATAATCTGCAGCAGATGTCAATCAATTTTAGTAGAGCGAGATGAGATTCATGTTCAGGAATCTAATGATTTCACAATGAATTCATCTTTATTCTTTATCTTGCAGCAGTCCCAGATGAATTCATGCAGCTCAAAAACTTCACTTTGTTTTCTGTAACTACAGACAAGATCATGAAATCTGATCCACATCTAAAGCATCATATTATGAACATTTGATTAAGACAGTTTTAACCCTTTAACTTTATGACTATTCATGTTCCTCAGGGGGAAATCAACCGTTATTTAACTGATCAAAAATAGGGTGCAAATCTCAGTGTATGGCGAGTCGATTCCGATTTTTGATGTCACGTTTAGATTCAAAATCGATTTTTCAATTCAGAACCCATTTTTCTATTGAAATGGTCATAAATTTTGTTACTTCACTGACAAGCTGAAAAGATTAAACAACAATGAAAACAAATAGAACACTTATTTAAAACAATAATTTTAGGTTCTTTACTGTATCACATCTTTTTGCATCATTTTATATTTATATCAAACATATGAACAAATAAAGGAGTGCATAAAATTCTGTAACAAATTAGCAGCATTAGGTTAACTTAGTTGCCTGGATTTTTCTAAAAAAAAAAAAAAAAAAAATCTAGGAACAAATATTCATCCATCATCTTTACCCACTTCTTCCTTTTTGAGTCATGGGTGTCACTGGTTCCCATATCAGCCATCACTGTGTGAGAGGTGGGGGACACCTGGACAGGTCTCAGTCCATCACAGACAAATAATTCAAAATGTATGAATACAAAAGTAAACAGACTTCAGCCTACCATTGTACATTAACCTTTAACTCAACATAAAATACAAACTTCACAGTTTTTTTTAACCATATTACTCAAACATTTGTTATATTTTCAAAACTTAACCTAATATGAAATATACAGACTTGATTCATATTTAGTAAATCTTTAACAAAATTTTAAAACCTGGGAAAAACTGCATAAAAACTCTTGTCTGACGCTCGGTGATTTGAGCTCTTTAGCATAGCATTTTTCACACAAAGCTTTTAATAAAATAAAATAGTAAACAAGTTCTCAACATCTTTTTTCAGAGAAAAACAACTTTTTACACGAAGGCACAGGTTTCAACTGTGAATTTTGGAGCTTCGACAAATGGAGGTTTATTCCCGAGGTCACCCTGTTAGCTTAGTTTCTCAGCCGAGTTGCTTTTAATGATACAAAAACGAGATTTTGGACGGTTAAAATGGATTTTAAAGAGAAAAGAGAAAGGGAGGGGCCAGTGACGAGCACCGGAGTTGTGTCGTGTCTTCAGTAGAAAGAGAGAGACACAAAGAAACGATAAAGCCGGTAAATGAACATGAGGTTGATGGTTTTCATTCTTCATGCGATTAAATGATTTATTGGTTATCACGACAGGCCTAATCATGATCACCCTCTTCATCAACAAAGTCCTCACTGTCTGACTCGGACTGTTTTTCTCCTTCATGATCCTGTCCTCTGTCTGAGAGGTTCTGACTCTGCGGTTCCGTCCTCCTCACATTCAAAATCGTCTTTGTTTTGGCTGAAACACACTACAGCTGACTAAACGAAGACACCCTAATTATAAACCCAACCATGCTAAATATCACAGATCTCTCAAACCTCATGACTCACTCCCGCTCTCACTGAGACTTTATTGTGCTGAACTTCATTCAACTTCTGCGTCTTTTTCTTTGTCTTCCTGTAGATTTTTTTAGTGCTTGACAAATAAATGAGCGTCAGAAAGTAGGGGGAGGTTATCTGTTCGGTGGGGGTGGGAGGTAAAAGTGGAGGATGATGGGGGTGTTTTGTCCCAGAGACTGCCCGTCTTTGCCGCAACCTCTCTGTAACAGGGTTCAGATATGACGTTGATTTTCAGAAAAAAGATGTGGCATGGATTATTTGTCATAACTGGTTTTACTTGGCCTGTCAACACAATTTAAAAACTGGTGTGTAGCTTAAAGTCTGTACTTTGGACAAAATTAAAATGAGTTAGAAGCTGTGTCTTTCCCGCTAGAGTGACTGAAATCGGTCATGTGACTATTACACGCCGGTGCGCAAAGGGGTGGGAGGTGGGAGCTGGAATCGTCAGAGTAGACAGCACCAGACGCTTAGGCAGTGAAATTGCCGCCTGTTATTGAGAAGGTAGATAAAAGCCCTATTTGCATGGGATTAGTTTTGCCTTAGAACCAGTGTAATCAATAAATTACTCCCCAACATCCGCTTTTATGTGGCACATTTGCACGGGATAACCAAGTCGAGATTTAGCTGAAATTTACTAACACCTTCCAGATATGATGACGCACTTTTTTTTTAATTCAATAAATCGCATTGAGCCTCAAAGACTCATTTACAAGTGAGACCTGTTTGGACAGATAAAAAAGTAGTAAAATGGACACGTAGGAGTTGTCATGACCGGGCTGGTCCATATAATGTGTGTTCTCGGACGGTCTCAGGCTTTGATGTGGTTTTACGAATCATCACTAGAATGCACAGTATCAAATTGTGTTAAGCTACTTGAGGAGGAGGCAGGTCCGACCGAACGGTGAAAAGAGGTAAAAAAGAAAAGCCAAGTTAAGCTCAGATGGACAGCTGTCACCGGCCGTGCGCATGAGCGTCCGCGTGTCCGCTGACCTACCGGTTGAAATGGACTGGAGAACTGTCCAGGATGTCCCCCACCCACTTCTCGCACAGTGATGGCTGGACAGGGGCACCAGTGACTCCCGCTACCCAAAAAGGAAGAAGCGGGTAAATATAATGGATGGACAGATGGGTCAGTTGTTCATTTGCACTTCTCCACACCTCCCGTCATCTGCGTTGAAGGAAGTAGCAGCTCATAAAAGCCCAAGCAAAAATTATTTTGCTTAAACAAAAACAAAAAAAACCGCCTCATTACGGATCAGATCCCGCCCATTTCTGTCCAAATCACAGAGATGCCTATTCTCATTGGTTTAGTATTATCACAGGACCTCGAAGTTCAGCTAAATATAGTAGGTAAATGCTGGGGAATTTTTACTTTACAAATTACTGACATGGCTGATTCACATGGGATTAACGATGCAGACAATCTCCGTAATTATTACAAATAGCATGTGGGCCCTCAATAAAGCTAATCCCACGTGAATAGGGCTAAAGACGCAGTTTGCCTTTCGAATTAGGGCCCCGATTTCCTTAATTTTAGGAAATCGAAAATCGGCCGATACTTGCACGAGAAACCGATTTTACAGATGTTTTTTTTGTTTGTTTGTTTTAACAACAATTGTCTACTTCATTATATTTAAGAGCACTACCTCATGGACAGTTAAAACAAGTTTGTATTGGTTCTAAGATATTGTTCAAGGGTATGTTTTTGAATAAAATACGATTGGAAAATTGAAGGTGCATTGTGACCTTATAACACCCGACTGTGTCGATTATAAAACAAAATCGGAATTGGCCAAAATTGGAATCGGCAGCTCAGACTTTTTAGAAATTGATCGGTGATCAGCCAGAAAACTGCAATCGGTGCACCTCTATTTCGAATCCTTTGGTCTTCAGAGTAATTCATGGACTCTTAACTGTAAGCAGCCCAGGTCATGTGGCTACAAAACAAGCATAAACTACCAGCCGTCCACCACTGTTCTGACCGCTAGTTGGTCAGGTGTTTGTGCTAATATGCTGTTGGGTTTTCTTCAAATACGGCGTTATGGTTAAGTGTCACTACTTAGGTCTCATTTATTCTGAGATTATTCCACAAGTCTTGTAGTTTTGGATGAAACTTTACAAGTCTTGCTGCCATGGTGTTTTTAGGCAGAAAAGGTTTTCTTCTGCAACTCTTTAATTACGTCATACTTGCTCAGTGTTTTTGTAATTGTCCTGTCACAACCTTTGCCTTTAACGCTGCTTGCTGAGGCCTGAAGAGTCTGAAGTTGAGCATTTCAGTGAGCGTTGTTCTGACCACATTAGCATTGTGTTTTGACTCATTCCTGTATCTCTCTGTTCTAGAGGTGCTCATGCTGATGATGATCAGTAGCACCTGGCTTCTACTGAACCTACTGAATACAGTGAAAGCAGCAAATATAAACTTTAAGTTTTTACTTGCAGCTTTTCCATTTCGGTTTCATTCCATTTTTAAATATTATTGATAAAGTGCATTATACTGTGTTTTTATACACTTGAGGTTAGACTGAAATAATTTTAGAACTTGGTAAAGACTGATGTTTTTAATATTTTCTGATTTGTAAAACCTTTTAATTAAAAGGGAAAAAAATAAAGATGTTTTCTTCTTCCCAAGACTGTAAAAGCTCAAAGTTCATCACATTCATGGGATGTTTATGTGAATTTCTGATCCCACCCAGGGGTTGACGTTTAGTTTCCGGTTGTCTGAGACGACCTATTTTCATCTCTGACAACTGGATCTCGCCTCGAGGTTGTCCGGTGGACAACTAAGTAAAATAAACATGGATTAAAGTTGCTTGTGGGAATCAAAGCAGTGAACAATACTGTGTAGTGTATTTTGCTGAACAGAGCATGGCAAGTGTATTGCAACTAATCTGTAAAGAAAATCTATAATTTTTCTTCAATCCTCCAACCTGCTTGTCATTAGCTACGTGTCTCTCAAGTTAGCAAGCTAACGTTTAGATAACCTAGCATAAGCTATTGCCTTGTAAAACTTTATCCAGAACAATAAGTCTAACGTAGAGATGAAACATATCCGTGTTAGTAACGTTGCATTTGTCATCTTCAATGAAATGCGTTGTCTGAAACTGTCGTAACTTCTCTGCAAAGAAAAAAGAGAACGCTGCTGTGGTTGATACTAATTAGGTCTGACTGTTTAAACAATGGACAGGGAAGGTCGTTTGTTTAATTTATAGTTTTATAACACGCTTGATAACTTTATGGTGAATAGTGGAGGATAGAAAGTATGAACACACGTTAGGAAGACCGTTTCAAGACTTCGCATGTTAAAACGGGTTTAAAAGGAGCTGTTTTCTTAGATTCTTGGGGGTAGATGAGGCTCAATCTTCAGCCAGTATATCTGTTATTGGCATTAGCCTTGTCCGCCCCATATCTGTATCTTTTGGCGGTAGCCAAAATTTCCATATCAGTCGGACTCTAGCAAGAGGGGCACAGCAGTGGTTAGTCGTCGACTCACAGCAAGAATATTTTACAAATTCAGCACTCAGCTGGCATCTTTAAATGTTTTCTCAGGGTACCCTGGTTTCTACCCACACACCAAAAAGATGCATGTTAGGTTAACTGGTAACTAAATTGCCACTAGGTGTGAATAGTTGTCTCATCTCTTATTTGCTCTTTTTGATTGACTAGCAAGCAGTCCAGATAAAACGTCTGGCACAATATCAATCAATCAACCTTTATTTATACAGGTAAATCCCATTGAGCCTCGAGGACACTGATTGTATTTTGTTCATTTAGTTCTTGTAAGAGAAATCAATATAAATTATATATATATATATATATATATATATAAACTATCTATATATATCTATATATATATCTATATATATCTATATATATATATATATATAGGCAGGATAGAGCTGTACAAATATGTAAAATGGTATTGACCCAAAATCTGAATTTTGTGGATTTCAATTTTTTTTATTATTACTGCTTTTAAGTTACATTTTAACATGTTGGCCATGCTAATAGTTTATTACCTCCCCAGACAGTTTTAAATAAAATACTTATATATATATATATATATATATATATATATATATATATA